ACAATATCTGAGCATGAGTGCATGTGTACAGCTGAAGGCCACATGGAAACACACATACAATATCTGAGCATGAGTGCATGTGTACAGCTGAAGGCCACATGGAAACACACATACAATATCTGAGCATGAGTGCATGTGTACAGCTGAAGGCCACATGGAAACACACATACAATATCTGAGCATGAGTGCATGTGTACAGCTGAAGGCCACATGAAAAGGCAGTACCAGACAGGAGAAACCTCTCTTTGAATTGTTCGTCAAGCTTTTCAGGACAGACCTAAAATAACACGGGCCTTTGCCACAGCCCTTGATTGCCTCCCAGACCCTGAAGACCTATTTCTGAAGACGGGACATACTTCTGACATAGGACTTGGAGTCATAGAGCTGGAACCGACCTGGAAGCCACCTCACTGAAGGCTAGCTCTCATAGTTCTGGAGGATACCATACAAGCTCTTATGGGGGAACATCAATCTGTGGTCAAAACCAGTTCTAATAACCACTAGGACCGGCAAAGAAAGCTATCTCTACTGATGAAGTGGTGGCACTTTTATGTAGGGGGTTAGCAACAGCTATCCAATTGAACTTAAAGCCCTGTCAATGGGTGGGAACTCATGAGTGGCACTGTAAATTTAGCCAAGTACACATGGCTGGAAGGGTCACAGATTCTACATAAAACTCTATCTCTGTCATATCTCTAGACAACTGAAATTTCTCACTGCATGCTGAATATGGATCCTTATATTTTCAGACAAGCAAACTGTATACCATTCATCAAAGATGCTTCTTTTTGCAACAGATGGAGGCTATCATAGAGTTTCACAACTGTTCACACACAGAGAATGTATGTCTGAGAGATTCCCAGACCTAATTAACACATCTACACTTAAGGCTCATGGAACATAGTGGAACACGGGGTAGAGAGAATTCTAACACATCTCTTAACTCTCACCAGAAAAGCTGTCTTATACAACAGAGAGATGCACACAGAAAGTCACAACTGGCTAAATTTTAGAGAATAAGAGACTGCAGAGCACCTGTCCCTGGATAGGGCTCTCATGTTAAAATTCACCCACCCAGGGCTCAGGGACCACCCCGGAAGAGGGGGCAGAAAGACTGTAAGTGAAGGGTGTTATGTGGACATAAGGAAACAGCTTTTCAGGTCACTGGGAACTTGCTCATGAAATTTCAACAATCATGATAGCATGCACAAGACCCATGCCGATTCAATCGGACAAAATCCAAGCATAGAATGAGGGAAATGGGCATTGCCCCAACCCTGGCCTAGGAGCCATTGGTGACTGATCACTGCTGGGTGAGGGAGAGTTGATCTTCTTTAAGAGAAAGACTCTAGATAGGCTGACTAGACTCCAGTGGTTGAACTTGTACTGAATTACACCTGGGTACAAATGTTTGAGTGGAACAGACTTAACATACGTAAGAATAGATGAAACCCTGCAGAGTGGGGCACAGGGGGGAGGGTCTAAAGTTAAGATCTATTATATGAAATGCACAAAAACTCAATAGACATATTTTGAAGAGAAAAGGTAGTTATATACAAAGAAGAGAGAATTTATGTGATGAAGAGCTCAGTGGAGGAAAGGAATGGACTCTCCTGCATGAAGTCAACACAGAGCAAGAGGCAGACACACCTTCCCAGGAAGGCCCCTGCTGCTCTGTCCTACCACACCTGAAGACTAGCTACTGACTCCAATACCTGATCATCTCTTGTTCCCAGTGCTCCTGTATTGGAAAATGTTCAGAAAGCAGTCTGTTTGGATCTCAGAAGTTTCTTCCAAATTGAACGCTGGCTTTGGTGGTTTGAGGGGAAGGGACAAAACTTCTAGAAAGTCACAGGCTGGACCCCTTGGGCACTGCTCATCATCACAGCCTTCTTGTCCCTGAACAGGTGCGGTAATTAGGATCAGAAAGTTTATGACTGAGCAAATGACGGCACCAGGGAGAGGGCAGAGAGGGCACAAGGGTGGAGATGTGCACAGAAGGGCCTTGTCCCCTGGTGAAGCCAGATTCCTGGTGGTGTCACCCTGACAGCAGGGAGAGCTGCTGTGCACACTGAGACTCCAGGATGATAAATAGGACCAGGCTGGCGCTGTGAGGAAGCCCACCCTGACCAGCTGCATTGACTGCACAGGTGAGTGATGTGGCGTTTCTGTGGACTCGGGTCACCTTTGACTTTGGAAGGGAAGCTGTGAGATGGGAGGGGTGAGAGCAGGTCATGGGGGATAGGGTGTGAATTCCCCATCACTGTGGGAGAGGAAAGTGTCAGGACCAGGGAGAAGACAGTCCATCATTTCCCACCTACCGTACAGAACCGTGTTTCCATGTTCTCGAAGGAGCCGGTATCAGCAGCGTGTGTGGTACACTGTGCCAGGCTGCTCCTTACACAGGCCAGGGACGGGCAGGAGATAGGATGAAAGCGTTTCACCTGGGTGTGGAGAAGCTCTTCCTCTCTGCAGAGTCTCCATAATCGGTGCTTTCCGCCCCATATGACAGGCAGTTTACTCATTAAACTGTGATTGTTTCGTACACTGTGCCAGGCTGCTCCTTACACAGGCCAGGGACGGGCAGGAGACAGGATGAAAGCATTTCACCTGGGTGTGGAGAAGCTCTTCCTCTCTGCAGTCTCCGTAATCGGTGCTTTCCGCCCCTTATGACAGGCAGTTTACTCATTAGACTGTGATTGTTTTTGAATTCGCCCTCTCCCACACTAAAAGCATAGGCATGTATGAGTGCTGATAACTGTGAGGAGAGCTGACATGAGAACACATGGCTGTCAGGGCGTGTTTCACACTTGCCGGCACCGCCCTAAGCACTGCTCACCTCTGCTCATCGAATCCTCACACCGCACCTGCGTGGAACAGAGCTCACCCTACATAACTGACTCTAAGAGAGGTTGACAAAATGTTCAGATCAGGCACACAGGAGTTAGGAAAGCCAGGGATTGAGATGCAGGATTGAGATGCTCACTGTAAGCTTGTCCGTCTCAACCTTGACCTTTAGCCTTCTCTAGTTTCGTGATCGATCTGAGGCGCTATCATGCTGACCGCACATCATATTTCCGACTGAAAACCCTGACTTGACTTGACTCACACAGATGCACTCTGTTGATTCTTACACGCTGGAGGTGAGACGCTTGAGAAAGCTCACTGAATGTGTACATGAATGTCTCTTCCCAGCCATACTGGAGTAGACTTATACTTGCAGCTTTTGCAACCCAAGGGTGCCACTGCTCAGGAAAGCAAAGACATTATCAGTACTATAAGTTTTGCTATTGATGTCACAGAGAGAGCATAGAAGTAGCTAGGAGAAACTTACCCAATTGTAAGGCCGTTAATACGGAAGCATTATAGCTGAAAATTGAATATGAATTAGGAGTCTCTTAAAGGAGAGGCCGTGCCCTTGACTAAATTTGTTCCTTACCCATGTGAGACAATATTAAATACTTACTGACAGTTTCTTCAAAAGTGGATTGACTTCTCCAGGCAATCAGGTTTTATCAACCATGAGGAAAGAGCACAACTCAAGCTCTTATCCAAATTGACTCCTCAGTTCACCTCTGTGCTTAATGAGCAGTTTTTAAATGAAAAAGCCTCATTAAGTAACTTATTCGTAAACTTTTTGGGCAGGCACTACTCTAAATTACATAGACGCTAGATACAAAAGGAGTCTCCCTACCCAGTGCAGAAGGAAGCAGACACACAGAGAACACAGCCTGGTGAGGTCACAGGGCGGGATGCATAGGAGATGGAACTCTAAGCAGACTGTGAACAGTGAGCAGCAGGACATGGAGCATGGTGGTCGGGCAGAGATCAGCCTGGGATGCTCTGCACATTCATGTGGCAAGAGAAACTCCCGTGTTCCATTTGCTAGGAAGGAGCTGAAAGAAATTCAATAATATTGACAAGGAGATGCCAAATTGTGGAGAACAAATGACAATAAGTTGGCAGGTGTGGCTCTGTATGCTTTGTAAGAGGTAAAGCAAATTGAATAGCTTCTGTCTCTAACTCATTGTGACTGTCAGTATAGTAGGTAAAGAAACATTAAAAACGGTTACCATTCATAAAGAACACAGTGTGAGATGCTGGGGAGGACTGATCCATAGGCTAAGGTATTTACTACTGGGAACATCACTAGTCTGAGCCAAACTTAAAACACATAATCAGAAATACATATATTTGTTAAGCGTTCACACAGCTAGTGCCAGAGCTGGGATCTGTTTTCCTGGTGTGGGGGATACAGTTCTCAGAAGAAATGGACAGTAATAACAGGATATGTGTGAGGAAGCAGGAGATTACCCTCAATATGATTCCACCCGCTTCCACACACATGGAAGATTGGAGCACAATTCTATCACACTTAGTCCCACTTTGAGGCCATTGAGCTAACCCCCCGTAAGCAGGAGCCCCTTGGTCATTTACGGGCAAAGGACTTGGGAAGAGGAACATGGCATATTACCTCCCTTGAGAAACTGGTCCACTTGGCCAAGCACAAGTTTCTGGAGATGCTACAGGCTTTTAATTAGTTTAATAATCAATTCTTTGAAGGTTGTGTATGGAGTAGTAAAGAGGATCTGAGTGGACTCCCACACAGTCCATGTCTGAGCTCATGATCTGGGATGATCAGAGAAAAGGAAGGAGGTATTCAGTGCTAATACTCAGGACTGCTCGTATGAAAGCCAAAAAAGTAATGTCATGTATTTAGCTTTTTAGGGGGAAGAGAGTAGTCACATGAAGTGTACGGAAAAAAGTTAGAAAGAAAGATCTTCGTGAAAATCAGGAAACCAGGAGGTTTGTGCTCAGATTGCAACCGTCATCACCTTTAGAAGTGTGGGAACAAGACAAAGCAGAAGAAGCAAAAAATAAACAGGCATCTTCTAGAAAGGAACTATGTGCATTCACAAACTTAGACCATTGGTAGCATCCAAACAAACAGACAAAATCTTGTGTTTCTCTCACGTTTCTAGTTTTCTGCCTGAAGTCAGATGCTTTGGAAGGACCTTCTCCAGACAATAATTTTCTCTTCTCTCAATGTACCTGGAATTGTGGGGAACATCCTAGTATTGGTGAGACACGTGTGTACTTTTGTTACAAGAGCTGAGAAAAAGCCCATAGACCTTATCCTCGTTCACCTGTCATTTTCAAATGTGATCATTATTTGTAGCTTAAGTATCAGAAATAAAGACACAGTGTTTTATTTCAGAAACTTCGTAAGTGATGCTGGTTGTAAAACTGCAGTCTACCTGTCAAGAATGGCCCGGGGCCTTTCCATCTGCACCACCTGTCTCCTCTGCATGGTCCAGGCTGTCACCATCAATCCCAGGACCACCCTGTGGAGAAAGCTCAAACCACAGACTGCATGGCAAGTTCTTCCCCATCTCCTCCTCTTCTGGGTCTTTAATTCTCTCATAAGCTCCAACTTGCTCCACTACATCACAGCAGGCAGCAATGTGAACACGTCTGGAGTTGGAATTCCAATTGGGGATTGCTACATGCTGCCCTCCAGGCACGCAGTTAAGTGGCTTTTCCTCTCCCTCATGGCTCTGCGTGATGCCATCTTTCAGACTCTCATGGGCTGGAGCAGTGCCTCCATGGCTCTCCACCTGTATAAACATCACAAGCGTGTCCTCTACCTTCACAGCTCCCGGTTTGCGAACAAGTCCAGCCCAGAAATCAGAGCTGCACAGAGCACTCTCATTCTCATGGCCTGCTTCCTCTGCTTTTATTGGGCAGATTTCATTTTCTCCTTCTACATGGGTTCCATGTTGACACACAATTTCATTATGCGAAATATTAGAGCACTTCTAGATGTTGGCTACGCTAGTCTCAGCCCCTTCATCCTGATCAGCAGAGATGTCTATGCTGCTAATTCCTTGCGTGCTCACTGAGAAGTGCAGACGCTGCATTCTATGCTTCTCCATGAGTCAAACACTGGGCTTTGTGAGCAGTTTTGCCTGATGCACTGTAGGGGTGGAAAACGTAGTTCTTCTTTGTCCATAGTGGCCTGGATGTGGATAGGAGCCCAGGTTGAGCTTGAGCTGACAATCCACCTGCCTCAGCATCCCAAAGGGCTGGGGTAGCAGGCATTCCCTAAGACTGGGACATTTGTCTTAATGCTCATACTCATCACATCATTAAATTAATCACACATAATAATTCCTTTAATTTTTAAAAGAAATCTGGTATGATGCAGTCTGACACATATGGGAGTTACAGGAAGTGGAAGACAGATTCTTATCTTCTGATTCCACATGCCCCTCCTGTGGCTTTTAGCTTCCTGTTAGCATTAGGGACGATACCAAAGGTGACATTGCTGGCAGAAACTAATGTTTTTCCCAAAAAACATGATCACAAGAGCAAGGTAGGGAAAGGGAAGGTCAGGTGATGCCTGCCTGAGGTCAGGTGCAGGGCAGAGTGGAGACGACCAGGGGAGAAGCTGTGTCACCACAGTGCAGGTGTTCTGTTGGCAATTGTTTGGCATTGCCAGGTTCTGCAAGTGCTAGGCAAGTGGTAGCAACACTGTGGACAGTTCTTATAGTAGAAGGCTTGGAGAGATGGCTCAGTGGTTAAGAGCACTGGCTGCTCTTGCAGAGGACCTGGGTTCAAACCCCAGCATTCACAGGGCTAGTTCCTAGGGATCTGACTCTCCTTCTGACCTCTGTGGGCACTGCAGGACACAGCACAGGTGCATTTACATACATGCAGGAAATATACTCATACACATTAAATAAAGTTATATTTTTTAAAAAGAGCTTGCAAGAAGCACAGGTCAAAAAGGGCCCCTTTCAAAGGATGCCATGGTGAGCTTGAAAAGGAAGCTCCAGGCTAGGCCTCACTGGCACACAGGTGTGTAAATACTACAGTAACAGAGTGCAACACTGGAGCTCTGAGTCCCACTTCCAGTCACTCATTATGACCTACACAGAACATCTAGCCTGTCAGCAGTCACCATGCCCCCTGTATCCTACCCTCATGTTCAGAGTTTCTACTCCAGTGTCCTGGAAACGGTCCATCCCAGACAACAGGACAGCAAGGAGGCTGAGAACTCCATGGGCTCTGTGGACACTGAGGGTCCAGAAAACACTGGGTGTCCCTGAGCTGCCAGTGACAGGCTTCTGTCCCCTCTGCTCCTGCGTTGCCTGGAGGGACACTGTGCTGGTGGAGGGCTGTACCACATTCTCCAGGGTGTGCTGAGATGGATGCATGGTTGGGAAGCGGGGCTATCTCTCCAAAGACCTGCACAGACGAAACACTTGGAATCTAAATTGACACATTTTTTTAAAGAAAGCATCGGTATTTGTGATTCATGTCTACAGAAAAGTTTTATATTATGGGAACTTTCTGAAGAGCAAGGCAGTCATGATGTCCACAGGGTGCAGAGGCCGCACGCCCCATTTCTTTGGGACTTTTTGTGGATCATGCTGAGTCTGTAATGCTTTCTAGAGGACTATCACACAAAAGTTTATTTTTCAGTCCGGAATGTTTTTAGCTTCATGCCAGCACAACCAGTGCAGTTATTTAAATCCTTATATCACTAATGCTGAGACCCACATCCTTGAACTATGAGCTAAATAAAACCTTTAAGAATTCATCCTGCCTTTGTTTTAATTAAAGTAACAAAAACACACTTGGCACACATTGGGTTCACAGACTGTTACTTGGCACACTGCTTGTCCTTTGGTGGCTACTCTGCATGTTTGTTGATGAGGAAAATATCACATATTTGACGAGGTGGGAGTAAGGAAGTAAACAACAAACAGCTGCTAAGGTCTCTGCTTAGGAAGAACGAGTGGTCTGCACTAGAGGGACTCGTGTGAAATAAAAACGTCAGTAGGATGAGCAGACCGGAGGTCAGCCAGAGTGATGACTGTTACTTTCCTTCCACCAGAAAGCTGGACAGCAAACTGCACTTGTCTCAATATCATGGTTCCTGAGAGATGCCCTGTTTCAGGGCATGATGCACGCATCCTGGGACTACATGGTACTTATTTCTGCACCATAAATACAACCAGCATGGGTTCTATCTGCAGATGGCAAACTTGCTCGTCACATGTAGCTGCATGTTCTCTCTCACTCTCATTCTCTCTCTCTCTCACTCTCTCTCTCGTTCTTACTTGCTGTCTTACTCTCTATCTCCACTTTCTTGTCTTTTATTGGATAAACCAGCAAGATCACTACAAGGTTTGCATTTTTATCCTTTTAAAAATATATTTTATTTCATCTTTCTGCATTTCATACATTACATCAAAATCATATTTAGACCCCTCCTCATGTTTTCATTTTTCTTTCTTTTCTTTTTTCTTTCTTTTTTTTTTTTTTTTTTGGTCCTTTTGAGACAGGATCTCCCTGTAGCTCCAGCTGTCCTGGAACTCACTACATAGACCAGGCTGGCCTTGAACTCACAGAGATCCACCTGCCTCTGCCTTCAGAGTGCTGGGATTAAAGGCATGCCCCACCCCACCTGGCTTTTTTTTTTTTTTTTAAATTATTATTCTTTATATCGCAAAGAAGAAGAAAAATTCAGAAGTTTTCTAAAGAAAATAAAAAAAGACTGCAGAAGGACAGGCTCTTTTTTCAACCAGGGAAATTTATTTCTTATTTTTCACTTTGTATGTACTCTGGCATATCTAACATTCAGCTTACTCAGTTTCTCTGTGCCTGGATTTCTCCCTTCAGTATGAGGCATGGGAATCATAGTTATCTCAAACAGATATTATTTACTTCATGACAGAAGAATATTTATCTTCTCTCATGATCAGAGCGAAGCCACTCACAAACAGGGAGAGCAAATTGGACACTTCCATGTATGGAGACACTGTCATGCAAATCATTAGCAGAGATCAGTGACCACAAGTTTGTCTTGCAACGCAAGCCAGGGTGTTTTCCAGAAAAAGATGATATCGTCACTTCTCATCTCTGCACTGCGCCCGTATTGGTTTATGTCATTGCACACTGAGAACCAACAGCCTCCCCGGCATTAGAATGAACACCTGGTGGAAGGACAACTCATGACTGTAGGTTCATCTTAGAAGTGTCCTTGAAGCTTTACAATAAATGGACTGTCTTTAGAATGAGGTCAAGATGGGGGACATTTAGATCTGAAATCCCATGTGATATTTAATACACGAGGAATGAGACAATCACTTCTGCACAGACCTCGACCTCCAATGGGCACAGGAGGAGAACGGGACTCTGAACTTGTCCTGCTCCATGGTGGGGACTTGTTCAGACAGCAGAATCCCCAGGGCTGATCATCGTGTATTGTATTCCTGTTTAAAGAGGGATTTAAGGAAGAGAAGGACGTGACTCACTCTGTGTCTCAGAAGCTGGTTCACAACCTGGAACTTTGGGAAGCTGGAAACTGGTCTGGAGACATGGGAAATTCCAGAGGCAGAAACTTGGATAGCTATTTCCTTTCTCATCTCATGTCCTTCTATGAAAACAAACCCTAATTAAGCCTGAAACAACTTCTGAGAAAAACAAATCTAGTGATTGTGGAGGGAGAGGGAAAGCCGCACTTCAGGGGCCGAGACTCTGCAGAGAGCTCCTTCTCCCTGACACAGCGACAACTGAGACAATTGAAGTGTAGTGGCAGCTCATGGGGGCCGAGAGCCCCACAAATCCCGACAGCACAGATATGAGCTGGGAGGAGTCATCTTCCAGATCACTGCTCCAGAGCCCGTGTGCACAGAAAGTGAGTGTCCTGCATCTCTGATTTCTTTATATGTGAGTTCATGTAGCGTTTCATTAGAAGCTTAAATCTCTCTTTGACTGAGCAAGGGAGTTATTGAGAGGGTCTGGGAACCTCCGTACTTCTGGGTTTCCTCTGAACCTTATAAGGTTGGTCCCAGAAATTAAAAAAAAAAAAAAGAGCGATGAAGAAGACCAACTCCTGAACACAATTCCAGATGATGAGCACAGCTCTCCCTGTCTTCAGGGTAGACATTCATGCCAGAGTTCTGGGGTAGGTCTTTGCCTAAAGTTACCCCCTTGTGTTTTTAGAGGAATCAATATGATATACAAAGTTTTTTTATCTCTGTCAAAATTTTGAGACAGACATGATAGTACACTCCTGTGATGTCATCACTATGGAGACGGAGGTAGGAAGATTCTATATTCAGAACAAGCTTGAGTTACATAGGGAGACCTTGTCTCTAAAATAACAAGACATCTCTCCAGCTCCTCAGAAAGGACTTTTAATTTGTTTAGAATCAAGAATGGAGCTGGAACAATAATTTAGGGGTTAAGAACACTGGCTCCTCTTGAAGAGGGCCAGGGTTTGATTCCCGGCACCCTAACAACCATCTGTAACTCCAGTTCCAGAGGAATCTGATACCCTCTTCTGACTTCCTCAAGCATTGTAGGACACAGGGGCACTTACATACATGCAGGCAATACGTTCATACACATAAAATAAAAATGACAACATATTTTTAAAGAATCAAGGATGCTGAAACTGAGTTACACATCTTCCTGGATTGCTTTGAAGAAATTTCAGAGCTGGGCCACTTTCCTGCTTTCACAAAGGGCAAAAAGGTGCAGCTACCACACAAGAACCATGTCTTCGAGATGAGCGACAGTATGTAAAACAATCACAGTAGGGTGGGTACAGAACTGGGATTGAGAGAGTAATCCCACACACTGAACTTGTTTTAAATCCCTAGTAAGTGTCCTAGTTTCAGTTCTCATTGCTGTGATAAAATACCCTGGCAAAAGTGACCTGAGAGTGGATGTGTTTATTTTACTCACAATTCCAAGTCACAGCTCAGAACTGTGGGGAGTCAAGGTGGCAGGAGCTTGGGACAGCTGGTCATATCACATCCACAGGCAAGAGCAGAGGCAACGCCTGACTGCACACATGCCCTCTGCTCAGCTCACTTTCTGCAGC